TTGTTTTCTTAGCTTAATCCTGAAACTTAGGACCTTTCACATACCAGAAGATAATATTAACTGATAACATTAACTAGTGCGTGTGGGTAAGCACTTCAGACTTTTTTCATAATCTGTCAGCAAGATTGCTCACTCACCATAAGATGGAGTGAGAAGAAAATGGAGGTCTGATAGAGATTCAGGATGGAGAGAGAAGTGCAGCATTGGTTGCGGGAGGAGGCTAGCAGTTTAGAAGAGAGATTTAGAAAGAGGTGTCTAATGGTGATAAATGGAATGGAATGTCATATATTTTATGATATATTACTTTTATATTTAATATATTACTTATATGTGGTGATTCTTCTTACTGAACACTTCCAAAAAATTTTTTTTGGAGAGGTTTTTACTATAGGGCACATGCACTTGCCAGAAAGAGAGAGACAGAGAGACAAAAAGTGAGAAATCTCCCTCTAGGGGGAATGGCCATGCCGCAATTTCTTCTCCTCCATTTTCCTCTTGGGATCTTGGGCACACATACACATGTGCCCAGCGTGATTTTAAGCCACTGGTTCTGGGACTCGAACCATGGTCAACTACATGGGAGTCCAGCGATGTAGCCATTATGCCAACTGCTGATTCCATGAACACTTTAAAAAATTTTATTAATCATTATTATTATTTAATTTGCTATAGGGCACATGTGTTCACATATGAGAGAGAGAGAGAGAGAGAGAAAGAGAGAGAGAGAGAGAGAAGCAATTTGCCAAATCCAGGACTTGAACCATAGTGAGCTGTGTGGGAGTCCAGTGCTTGAACCACAATGCCTCCTGCTTGCCCCACTGAACACATTTTTGAAAATGAAGATTTCTTTGAGGGGGTGGATATTGGCTTAAATAGGAAATAAGAAACAGGTAACAGGTTAACTTTGTTAGATTGAAGTTGAACTTGCCAAAGTATGGGAAAGCTATTATTTCCTGGCAATTAATGAAAGCTATCTCATGATTTCAGTTGTGACTGGTTTCCTCAATGTTAAAGCACATCTTAGAAAAATAAGTGTTTTTTTTTCATAAAGTTATCTTAAAAGAATTAACTATTGATTGATTGATTGATTTTTTTATCCTTTAATTTAAAAAGAATTTGTTTTCATTTCATATTCTTTCATACATTCAATCACACTATTATTTGTCTTACAAAATGGATATTTTAACAGGTGAATATTTCTCCCTAGAACTGTTGATAAAACTACGAAATATCTTCAACAGATAATACCACACCTCTTTGTGCCATTAATGCTTTGCCTCCCTGTCCCTCCCCCAAATGTCTTTCCTCAGACTGTTCTCTTTCACACACACTATATCTGGTATTTACATCTATATACTGCATTTCTATATCCTTTAGACAATTAGTTTCAGTCATAGAGTGCAGACACTCGGTATATATTAAGTGGGGACATACAATGGCTCTCCTTCATAGCATGGCTTGCTTCACTCAGCAGTAAGTCTTCCACCACTCCTTGGTATCTACCCAAAGGACAGAAGAATACATAATCAGAAAAGTGCTTCCACATTGATGTTTATTATGGCACTATTCACAATTGCTAACCCAAATGCCCATGAACTGATGAATTGTTAGAAAAACTGTGGCACATATACTCAATGGAATACTATTCATCCATAAAAAAACAACAAAACCCTTAACTATTTATTTTTATTTGTTATTATCATTTTTAAAATTTGATCAGAGAGAAAAAAAGGGAAAGTAAGAAAGCAAGCCACAAGGTCAAGGACTCAAACTGTGGTCAGTCATGTGAAAGGCCAGTGTCGTAACCATCTCACTACCAGATGGCTCCAGAAAAATCAGTGTTAACACACAAAGTCAAGTTTGTGGGCTAAAAGACCAATTTTAAATTTCTTACACGTTTTCATGGTGAAGACAGAAATTTCATAATCTTGCCTTGGTTTAGCCTTTCTTCTTTCCTATAATATTTTTGAAAGAGAAATATACATAATATACAATGATGAATGGGAAAGCAAAATACCCAATTTATTATTATTCACTAAGTTTATGTCTGAAACTCAAGTGCAGATTTCTCCATAAGCTTAGCTGGAGTTCCATGTCCTAGTTAGAAGGCCTAAGGGACTTTACTCTCCTGCTAAACCCAACCCTAAATCTGAATAATTTACCACTCTCCTTCAAGTTATTCAAATGGGGAATAGAGATAAAGTTAACCAAGGGTGTGTATATGTGTGTGGGTGTGTGAAAAACGGAACAGAAAACCCACAACATTCAGTTTTAACCCATGGGGAAAGAGCAGGTCCAAAATTAAGTTAAATCTTGTCATATGGTGAAAATAAGAGGAAGGACAAAATGCCAGGAGAGACTTACTAACATTCATGGCTTTTTAATACACAGGAATCCTCCCTATTTGTTAGCATTCTAGTATTTGACCCCAGAATAATAACATCTATAACTCTTGAAAAGGAGCAGGAGATGAAGGCCATTCATCCAACACAAAGACTATATCTTTTCCATAGACACCAATATGGCTTAGCTTCTCTTATTAAAGGTGAATACTGAGACACTGTACCCTCTATTAATTAAAAGAGTCAGTTTTTGCAAGAGGTCATGCAATAGTATTATAGGAGATTTAATAAACACAACAGGCCCCGTCTAGCAGTGCAGTTAATAGCAAACTGAGCTGCAGTGCTATATGGCCACCTGCGGGTTCAGGTCCCTGAGTCGACTTGGAAACAAGAGAGGTATGTGCGCAGGCACCCAAGATCCTGGAGCTGGAGTGCTATGGGAAAGGGATTCACGGCACGATGAAACCCTGCTGAAGGTGCTTCTCTCTCTCTCCTGCATTTGCAGATGTTTTCTATAAGAATAAAATGAATATATTTTTAAGAATAGAAGAAACATATGGGTGTGCTATCAATTCTTCTGTTTCTTAGTAGACAAGTTGCTTTAATCTCTAAGTGTCAGTTTTACCATCTACAAAATATCGGTTTTAATATGTACTTCTCTGGCCTAATCTAACGTGCAAACAAAATAAAATCTTTTAGACAGTAATATACAGTACAGTTATGAAAAAATTAACACATTAAACTGATGTCACTAGGGCTAGTGGTTTATTTCACTTATATGAGACAATTTGATAGGCTGGAGGCCTGGGGTGAGCAGCAGAGCCAAGCAAAGGTGATGGCCATGGAAATTAATTTTGCTTCAATCTTTGTGATCTTTGGTCTGTATCCACAACATCCACGACATCCACAACAAGCCTCAAGCTTCAAAGACAGAAGAAATGCTGTTGACTTACATGCTTGGAAGACAAACTCAACACCCCATAATAAACAGGGCTGGTGTATGAAATATCTCATTTCTATTCCTCTTGCTTTCACTTCTTAAGGTATTTGTCATTGATGAAGAGATTAATGGAAGAAAAGGAACAAAAAAAAAAAAAAAGAAAAAGAAAAGGAAAAAGAAAACCTTAGAAACCAAATAAAGCAATCGGGAGAACTGTATTAATAAGGAAGTCTTTCAAAGAAAGACAATATAAGGCGGCATCTCTATGGTTTAGCCCTGTTTAGCTCTCATCTCTGCAAAGACGAAGAAATAATTAAAATGCCTAACTCTGGTTCTGGCTACAAGTGAGTTACTTGAACAGAGGCCAGTTGCCCTTTACATAGAATTTTCCATTTGGTAAGTGTTTACTGAAATGGCTTTAAGCTTAATTTCCCTTTCCTGGCCACTGTGTTTAATTCTAAGTCTTCTCTCTCTCTCTCTTTACTCTTTTCTTTATCACGATAGAGTGCATACAAGACGAGGGAGGGGAGGGAGATGAGAGGGAGAGAGAGCAGCAGCCTCCACAGGGCCTGGCCATGCTACTTCTCTCTCTCTTTACTCTTTTCTTTATCACGAGAGAGTGCGTACAAGAAGAGGGAGGGAGATGAGAGGGAGAGAGAGCGGCAGCCTCCAAAGGGCCTGGCCATGCTACCATCAGGTACATGGAGAAGAAAAGCCAAAATATGAGGGGCTGCAATTTTGATTTCTCTGAAAGACCCAGCAGAAGATATTCTGAATTTTGTGCATCATTCTCTGGTTCCATGTGGTGGAGATGACTACCTGAAAAGAGGAAAATATGACAGCTAATTTTCCATAAATGGGTATTACTTACATAGTTGAAATGCTATAGTTAATATATTTTTGGAGAGGTTTTCGCTATAGGGCTCATGCACTCGCCAGACAGACAGAGAGAGACAGAGAGACAGAAAGCAAGAACATCCTCTGTGAATGTCTTTAAGGGAGGTTGTGCATATTGAGATTTGTGATCATGCACGAAAAATCAGAAAAAAATCTCCCACAAATACATTAGAAACACTAAAACAGATAGATCTTGTAATTGTTTTACTTGGATTTTAATTAGGTATAGCTAATGTACCAAACATTTTAATAGGTACTTTATAAACAGGATCTTATTTTAAAATTGTGATCTGACTTTGCTAAAATTCTGAGTTTCAGAAAGTGCTCAGAAGGAGAGCAATGTAGAGAGGGAAGCCATCTGAGTACCTACAACAGTTAGTATTGTGCCATACAAGGAGACTTCAAAAAACAAGTGGAAAAGTGGAATTAAAATACGAATTTATTTTGTTACAATTTTTTTTTAAGTCCTGGCAGTTTCTTCATAGTATGCATTTTTCCATAACCTTTTGGAAGACCTCTTGTACTTGGCAAGTTAGTTTCCAGTCTGGCTGTGTTTGTCAGGGCCTGGGATTCTGAACATATAAATGCTTTTCTAAAATAATCATCTGTAATTTTTCACTCTATTAAAAAATAATTCAGTGTGCACTAATTTGTGTGTTCATGGCAAGAAGTTGTGTTTTTCTGAATTTTATATTTAGAAGTTAGGAGCAACTCATCTTTATTCCTGAACATGATACTCAATTGCTTAATCATTTCTGCTCTGAGCATCCCTCCCACACCCCCACCTTGTGCTTCTTTATTAGGTAAGAGCAGGATCCACTTTAATGTTGTGGCAGGGAAATCGTTCTTCCCACAACTCTACGAAGAGCTGATTTGAACTCCTTATTTCTCAAACTGTAAATCATTGGGTTGAACAATGGAGTTAGGATGGTGTAAGATACTGAGATCAGGGCATCCTGACTTGAGGAGTAGTTAGACTTTGGCCGTAGGTAGATAAAGGAAGCACAGCCATAGTGGACAGTGACAACGACCAGGTGAGAAGCACAGGTGGAGAAAGCTTTATATCTGCCCAGCTTGGAAGGAAACTGAAGTATGGCGGAGATGATGTGAATATAAGACACCAAGATCAGCAACAGGGGGATAACCAGGACCAATGAACAGAGCATAAAGATGACAATCTGACTGAAGTGGGTATGATGAGATGCCACCTGGAGGACAGGGGAAATGTCACAGAAGAAATGATGGAGCTCGTTGGAGGAGTGGAAGGGCAGGTGAAATACCAGCAATGTGATTATCTGTGCAACAGTAAAGCCACAGGCACACGCAGCAGCCACGAGTCCTGTACACGCTCCGTGTCCCATGAGCACCGTGTAGCGCAGTGGGTTACAGATGGCCACGTAGCGGTCATAGCCCATGGCTGCCAGCAGGAAGGAGTGAGAACAGCCGAGGAAGAGGAAGGTGAACATCTGGATGGCACAGCCCAGGAAGGAGATGGTCTTCTTCTGAGACAGCAGGTCGACCAGCATCTTGGGGACAATGACGAAAGTGTAGCAGGTCTCAGAGCAGGACAAGACGGCAAGGAAGAAGTACATGGGAGTATGAAGGGCTCTGTCCAGCACGATGGTGGAAATGATGATGGCATTGGTGCCCAGAGTGAACAGATAGAGGAACAGGAAGACAGCAAAGAGCAGCCGCTGCAGCCCAGCCAGAGAGGAGAAGCCAAGGAAGACAAACTCTCTCACCACAGTCTCGTTGATCCACTCCATGGAGGAACAGCATCAGAGAGAGGAGAGTGCCAAAATAAATTCCTGAAAACTAGTAGAATCACAGGCAATTGTTCATCACAGAGCGTATGTTCATCATGTTTCCTTCCTTTTTTTCCCAAGACATGAAGCATCTGAAATCAGGCAAGTGTATATTAGATGTGTCTCCCACAGTAATTATAACAATATAGCTGGAAAGATGTTGACATCTTTCAGATTCAACCATCCCTTCATCTCCATTCTCATGATAAAGCAGTCATTTGGATTCTTAGCCTCCCACTCCTGGATTATCTTACAACATTTGTCTGTTTGTTATTATCACATCCATATGCTCTCAAGGAAATCCTTTCTGCAGTTGCTAAATAAGCCATTTGAATGCTCCACATTTATACATAACTCATTCAAGCTCCAGCAGCTTTTCATTGTCATTTCCTTCAGTTTTCATGTCTCCACAACCTAGACCTCCACGCTCTCCAGCTTGTGTGCTTTATTTTCTGGTGTAATTTTTACCTTATGACGTCTCATTATGACTTATGAGTCATTATGACGACTCTTACTTCTGTATCTTTATTCTGCTCCCAAAAGCTGCAAATAATTCTCCTCTTCTTTCTCTTCATCTATTCTCAGAGAGAGAGAAGGCATCTATATATCCTCTAATGCCTATGTTTTCCTCCTAGAGAGAACTAGTTTTTCTTCAGGACTCTCCTTCATTTTCATCATTTTCCTTAACACAGACCAAAATCTCACATAATGGCTATTTTCCCCATTGTCACTCTCACATCTTTCAGTCCACCTTTGCCTTGTGTCAGATTAATCCCCTGTATCATGTTCCTCTCCTCTTCAAAGAGCTTACTCATGGTCAAACTTTGCATGGTTTTCACGCTTTCATTTGGGGAACCAGATTATGTTTGTGTGCTCATCTTTCGACCTTTATGTGATGTATCACTATTGTCCAAATACGCCATGTCCTTTCTTCCTCTAACCCTTGTGCCTGTTAGTCTTTAACCCATTTTTATTTACAGATATTTAACAGTTATTCTGAAGTCTCAGTCCAGTCCATACTTCCTGCAAATTTCCTTGGTACTTCCTGGTAAAAAGAGTTGTTTTTTTCCTATAACTTACATTAGACATTGATTGCCAGTTTGATTGGCATTTACCCAATTTTGAAATGTATTGAATTATTCTTGTGTTTCTCTTCTTCCCTACATTTTGCATCCTTGAAAGAATGATGTGAGTGAATTGTACACATCTCCTCTGCATTTCTCCTCAGACTCTAGGCCATGTTTAGTACTCAATAGCATCTCAATAAATAATTGTTATATAAATAAAAATCTAACTTGTCACGTTGTTACTTATCTCATTCACGGCATCACAGGCTTCTTTGGACTCACTGAATAGGAGAATCTCTAGCATTATCTCACTGTGGGTTTGAGGACTGCTCAGGATCAAGAATATGAGAAGATTTCTGTACCAAATGGACTAGGCTTTACCTGTTCAAACGTAAAAGAGAAATCTCAGTTTACAACAGGAGAATGGCACTCAAGAGAGCATCTGGTCTTTGGAATTCGGTATACCTGGTCCATTCCCACTTCCTGGCGTATTTGCTGCTCTCTAGAGCATACTGGAGCATAAGTAATTCTGAGGGAAAGCATAAAGATAGCTTTACATTTCTCTCATTTAGAAAAGTATATCATTTAAAAATTGTTATCTTAATTAATATTAAAAACAATCATTGAGTTCTACCTTATCTGAGAACCACTGCATCAAGAATATAAGATTCTATATAATATCTTTCAAGAATCAATTTATTTAATAATATTTATTATTATTATTTTGTTTAATTTTCTATAGGGGGCATGTGTGCTCAACCAGAGTGAGACACAGAGAGAGAGAGAGGGAAGGCGTAAAAGGAAACTGCTAGGTCTGGGATTCGAACCATGGTTGGTGATGCGGGATTCCAGCACCTTTACCACCATACCACCTTCTGGCCCCTACAGTAAGCATTAAACAGGACAATTACAACCAGGTGTAAGGTACTAGATCTGTGATAAAGATAAACATACAAATAATACTCAGTGTAAGCCCTCAAGTTGCTCATGGTTAAAGGCAAGATGTATTCTAAAGAAGAGAAGAGATTATTTAAAAATATAGTGATGAAAGTGATAGATATATGTTTAAAATTATGGCACATTCAGGAGACACCTCTCGTGTACATCACTGGGAAATAGTTTTTGAAAAGTTATTTCTGGGTTTCTCTGCATCTGTTGTGGACAGCTTAATCTAAAAGCATGCTTGGCAAAATATCAAGAGACTGAGCAAGACTTAGTTTTTATTACTTTTTTTTTTTATTTTTTTTAAGGGCAGAGACTCTCCATGTGGCAATCCTCCTGCCTCATCTTCCCAGCTGGGTCTACAGGCATATGCCACTTCCCTGGCCTCTAGGTTAGACTGAAATTGAACCCGGCTTCCCAAAAAGTCCCTCACTGTGGAGCACAACACCGTAGCAGCACACTCCACCATGGCTGGGGCTGAGTCCAGTTCTCAGGCCTTTTAATCCAAATGCTCAAGTAGTCGTAAGTGCAGTTGCTTCTTCTTGCTTCTGGAGGAAGGCTGTCAGGTCCCTGATGTTCTCTCCTCTCGTGGTCATGATTTACCCCACACCCCCTCCCAACCCTGTGAAAAGGAAAGTCTGTCTCTTTTTCCTCCATCTAGCTCCTATGGTTCTTTGCCCAGTGCCTTACATAAAGCTTTTTATAGCCTAATAAGTTGGTACATTTTTACCAAAATACTTTCATTTTTCTAGTTTCAGATTCCCTAATTCTGTTTTCTCTTTTAAAGAATTACTTTTAAATTTTTATGTATTATCATTTTTAATATTTTCTATAGGGCATGTGCATTCACTAAAGAGAGACAGGGTGGGAGGAGAAAGAGAGAGAGAGAGAGAGAGGTGAGAAAGCAAGTCACCAGGTCTGGGATTCAAACCGTGATCAGTCATGTGGAAGTCCATTGCCTAACCACCATGCAGCCTACTGGCCCAGATTCTCTAATTCTTAGCATACTAATAAATTTCACATATATGACCTAAATTGTTACTTTCATAAGCACAGATAAAGTTGAATAATGAAGGGATAAAATGAGTCTTGAATGTAGAGAGATGTTGATTTTAATCCTGACTCTGGCATATTCTATTGGTAAGAAAGATCCTTAATTCCTAAGGCTCTTTCCTCATTTGTATGAGAAGAGTAATTCCTGTTTCTCGGGGCAATTGTGAGAATTAATTGAGATTATGTATACAAAAAAGACTTATTTAATAACTAGGGATTGCTTAATGAACACTTCTCTCTTCTTACTTTATTGTATTAGGTATTGGGATAGGAAACGCTTCTGCCGGTGAGGTAATGCACATTTAACTCAGGGAAAGTTGTTGAAACTCGCTTTTTGGTATTTCTCCCTGGAAAAACAAAAAACTTAAGAGGGATCACAATTCCCTGGAGTCTATTTAAACCCAACTCGAAGTAACTTGGTTTTCCGTGACTTTCTGTTCTGAACAGGGAGGGAGGTGAATGTTACTGATCTTGAAGTACCGCACAAATCCTTTAGCACCTGGTTGCTCTGTACTCAGAATCATACATGTGTGATCCTTGGCAGAAAGCAAAAGAGGTTTCTCAACTTTTCTTTTTGGGAGCAGGAACACACACACACACACACACGCACGCACACACACACATACATACATATATATACATATTATAAATATACAATCTTAGGTTTATGGTGCTTTATAATTATTGAACATGTATATTTTATAACAATTTTTTAGATTTCTTTTTATATGACCAGAGAGCACATGTGCTTGCTAGAGAGAGGCAGAGACAGAGATGGCAAAAGCAGCCCCTAACAGAGCTGCAGTCCCATCACAGTCCTGTCTCCTCCATCTCTTCATCCTATTGGAATCATGGATACTCATGCACACATGCTTGGCATGTTTCTCAAGTTGCTGGTCAGCCATGTGGGGTTAGCACCCTTGACCACTAGGCTATGGGACTAGCTGAAAGTACGTTTTATGTTTAGGCATCAACTCAATGATTTATTAAGCTCCTAACGACTGAAGTAGATTGTCTAATAGTTCTCATATGTTATGACTTCATGGTAATTATCTTCTAAATATTGCAGATATAAATATCAATAAACCCATTGTTACTTTTTCAGAGACTCAAACAGCTACCTATGCTATGAGACAGACTATCATAAATATTTAAAAAGTATAAACAAAATGTCCTGAGGATTTTGAGAAAAGAACAATTTCAGGGAAAGCTTTGAAGAACAAGTAGAATTGGAATATCACTGTAAACATTTTGATGAAAATGCAGGCTAAGTCTAAATGACATTACTTACGTGGACATTTTCATTTAACCTAGTATTAGTTTCTTTAATTCTTTCTCAGCATTAAAAAATGTACCCTATTCTTTTGCTGTTGTTACAGAGATCCCATTTACAGAGGAAAAAATGTAAATTTACTAAGGTCTGTGAAACCAAAGACACTAATTTTCTTCCCTTCTTCAATTTCTTATGATCAACTTTATGTTGAGCTCACCAGCTCAAAAAGTAAGCAAACAATCCAACAAAAATAAATAAAAAATGATTCAGTTCTTCACTCAGCAGTATCAAGCTATCATTATTGCTTTTGATGCTTGCAGAAAGAAGTAATAGAATACAGTCTTAGAATCATTTGAATCAGTCAAAATTCAGATCCGTCTTTTAGAAATGTAACACGAGCTCAAAGGTATTACATATTCTCTATGTAATAGGTAAGGTGAAAATATTGTTATATTTCTCATTTGGTTCTCACAATGGCCTTGCGAGGTAGTCATTAATATTTCTATCATAAAGATGAGAAATCTGAGAATCAAAGAAATTTGGGACTCTCCTTAAGTTCAGTGCTGGTAAAACCAGTCTGAGATTGTGGTATAATTTGTGCACGTGTGTGCATGTGTGTGTTTGTGTGTGTGTATGTGTGTCTGTCA